AGCCCTTGGGATGAGGTTTTATTTTTGGACTGCCATGGCGCCTGTTCCTTCCATTAGCAGGCAGGGGGTTGAGTTGGGCTCAGCATGAATCTGCCGTTCTGCCACTCTAAGCTGGGACAAGCAGGCAGCAGCTGGCTGGACACCCCTGAAACAGCAGTCTTACAGGTAAACATTCCAAAATATTACCCTGTTTATTATCTGGACACAGTAGGGAAACTGTGTTAGGATGGTCCAGGTAATTTGTTGTTGATTCTCCACCTCAGCACCCAGACATCTGATGTGTTGTTTATCTGTCTTGGGCTTGGTTACCTTGACTTTTAACATTTATGTTGGACTCTTGTAGTTTCCTTGCTGAGTTAGATCCTTTAAAGTGAATCAGAAACATTTCTCTTTGCTTTTCTGTCAAAGGGGAACCTGCCTGACGTGCTTAAAACTCAACCAAGATTGTCACCTGGTAAGTTGTCCCATTTTTCTCTTGACACTCACTTGTGTGTGACATGAATGCTTTCCTGAAGTTAATTAGTTTTCTTTTGCCTGGATAATTTTAATTATGTGGGTCATTACTGAGTTCAGCTGCTTTACAAAAGAAAACCACATCTATTATTACTCTTTCCTCTTTTGAAAGTACTCCAAATGCCAAAACTACCAAAGCCTTAAAAGGAGTAACGAGTATCTGGTGTCAGGCAGGCAACAAGTTCATCAGGGAGGAGCTGAGGGTTTTTTAACAGTAGCCTTCTATTTACTGGCGTGACTCACAGTGACGTGAGAATAATTCATACTTGTTAATGAGCAAGCTTTAGAACGTCAGTGAACCTTCAGATTTAACTCCCACGGTCCCTCTGATGTTCTTTAGGTGATCTTGTGTTCTAGCTGCTTATCTCTTGTTAAGAGTTCATTTTAAACTGAACAAACGTAAATTAGTCCTCAAGCTGTGTTTTGTGTCATGAAGCATGGCGTCTTCTCATGTGACTGGATGTTTCCAGTGATAACGTAGCTGTGTGGCTCTTCTCAGTGTCAGCAGGCTGTTACGTCTGAAGTTGTGTGTGTGTGTGTGCGTGCGTGCGTGCGTGCGTGCGCGTGCGTGCGTGCGTGCGTGTGTGTGTGTGTGTGTGTGTGTGTGCGTGCGTGTGTGCAGCCTTGGCTAAAATGCTAGAAAGATTGGTAAATGGTAAATGGCCTGTATTTGATATAGCGCCTTCTAGAGTCCTGGAACCCCTCAAGGTGCTTTACAACACAATCAGTCATTCACCCATTCACACACACATTCACACTCTGGTGGGGATGAGCTACAATGTAGCCACAGCTGCCCTGGGACGCACTGACAGAGGCGAGGCTGCCGAGCACTGGCGCCACCGGTCCCTCCGACCACCACCAGCAGGCAACGTGGGTTAAGTGTCTTGCCCAAGGACACAATGACAGCAACAGACTGAGCGGGGCTCGAACCTGCAACCTTCCAATTACGGGGCGAGCACTTAACTCCTGTGCCACCGTCGCCCCTTTTGATTGACTCAAAGTATTATTGTTATAAATAACAAAATAACAAACACGTGCCTATGGCTGCTGCACACACAATAACACACAGGCTCTCATGCATACCCACACATACACACACACATACACACACGCACACACACAAATGTGTGTGTAAGTGAATGCAGGGATGTGTATGGATATGCTACTTCAAAGCGGGAAGGTCAATAGCTGAGATCCTCTGCGCAAAAAAAACAACAAAAAAAAAACTTGTACGTCGCTTTGGATAAAAGCGTCTGCGAAATGAATAAACATAATAAACATAAACATAAACATGTTTTTCCTGCATGGATTTGCTTTAGCGTCCTCACTTTCCTTACAGAGAAAGAAACAAATATGTCTCTGGAAAACGTTTACATTTCTTCTAGACTCAGAAAAACAGACAATGTTATTTACCGCCTTCACCAGCATTGTCGTAGATGCTGATAAAAAAATACAAGAGGTAGAAAATCTTTACATTAACCAGAAAAACTAGCATCATTTATTGCCAGACAGCACATCAGCTTCAACATAAGTGTCGCCAGCTTCCGGAAAACATATTTGAACACATCTACAAGTTTTTTTGCAAACCCTTACACATTATCATTTCAGAAAACAGCTTGTTCCTTCACTTTCACTCTACATTGTCCCAAAGTTCAAACATAAATCTACAGACAAAACCAGGAAATATAAAAAACTAAGAAAGGCGTTTCTCCAAACTGGGTGTGTCTGGTAGTAGAAATAAGTATTTACTAAATTTAGTTGGAACATAAACCCGTCTGAAACAGCTCCTCATAGGTCAGGATGCTGTGAGATTAAGAAGAAAAGGTCTTCCCAATAATTGCTCAGACAAAAAGGAAAAAGGAGACAGAACAAAAACACATGAATACAGTTATAAGTATAAATTTCTCCTCATTCTGAGTCTCAGCATTAGTATGTTGCAGTGTTTGAGTACCTCCATGCCCCCAGGGCAGTGTTGACTAGAGTTTCAGCCCCTGGTAGGGTTTCCTACAGCAAACTGACCTCAGAGGGTGGGTCAGACTAAGAGTGACTCGGACTCTGATGCCTGTTTTAGGTAACCGGACTGCTTAAGAAATGTCGCTATGGTTACGTTTATAGTTGACTTGTAGGTGTTGTTTATTTTAAATGATATTTGACCCACACTTGTACAGCCCCTTTCAGAGCCAGAGGACTCCAAAGCGCTTTACACTACAGTGTATCATTCATTCATGCACACACACACACACAAACACACACACACACACTAAAGGTGATCAGCTACAATGTAGCCACAGCTGCCCTGGGGTGCAGAGGCGAGGCTGCTGAGCACGGGCGCCACCAGTACCTCCGACCACCAGCAGCAGGTAGGACGGGTTAGTGTCTTGCCCAAGGACACAACATTGGAAGACAATGCGGTTCCCTTCAAGGACTCGGCTCTCATCGCTTGGAGGGAAAACTAGGGGCAGACTGCCTCTGCCATCAGCATCCAAAGATGTCAGCAGAGGTGGTTCAGATAACTGATTAGGACGGCTCATTCTAGAGGTTTTTCTAGGCGTGCTCCACTGGGAGGACACCCCAAAGTAAACCCTGAACTCGCTGGAAGCATCAGATATCCTCTCTGGGCAGTGAATTATTTTGGATCCCCCAGAAGGAGCTGGAGAGACATATCTGGATTTCCCTCCTGGTCCTAGTACCTAACCTTGGATTGGCTTCAAACAGATGGCTGAATAAAATCATCTGAGGATCCCATCTAAAATTACAAATTTCTAATCACACATATATTAATAGTATGTATAAATTTACCAAAAACAATGTTTAACAAAAGTAATACTTGTAATGCTGTAGCACTTTGTGTACTGGTTGTCAGCTCTAGTCTGTGGTTTCTTTAGTTGCGACTGCTCCACTAGCCTGGTGAGCACAGTAACACTCTAACTTCAACCAAGGATTTTTCAGTGATGCTTTACTTAGTAGAAATCAAAAGCCAGATGAACTGTGTTGTGTGTTTCCTGTTGCATGCTGTTGTGTTTTTCTGTCACCTCATTTAACCTGGGAGGAAAGCACCAAAGCCAATCAGAACGCATCCAAACATCAAATCTATTGCATCGGGTTTTCTGTTCCTCAGCTTTACAGCAAGGCTACCATGCTTATAGTTTCTTCTTGCAACCATTAAAGGAAAATTGTTGCCTTTATAGTTTATGTGGGCTAAAGTGTGCTAGAACTGCACCTAGGTGGGCCAAACAAACTAATGTTTGAATTAGAACCAGTCCTAAAGTTTGAAAACTTGGTAAAACTAACAATTGACAGTTTGAATGATACCTGGATGACGTGAGAACCTTCAACAGCAGTTTGAATGATTAAATAAAACAGATGATTAATGCAGCTTTTAAAGCAGGGTGCCCAATCCTGCTCATGTTTTTTGTTTCTCTGCTTCAACACACCTGATTTTAATCTGCTGTATGGCACTTTCACATCCAGACCAGCACGGACCGGACTGGGTAGCCTTTAAAGTGTTCATTTCTAGGTAGCCTTGTATTTTTCCGCACTCGACCAGTCGGTTTTTCAGCCGACATACCAAGGAGGTCTGCTTTGGGCTGAACTGGTCCAACACACCCTCTACCAATTGATTGGCTAGAATCAAGCAGTGGGAGCTTCCACATGCACGATTCATTATCATTCTGGATACTGAATAACACACACACACACACACACACACACACACACAAACAGCGCTGCAGTGCCTTAAGCTGCACGGCCGTCATTTAAAGGAGACACCGCGGACTTTTCCACGCATCTTTTGCCCCGTCCACATGCTCAGAGATTTCTTCATTCCTGAGAAGTGTGTCTGAACAAAACCCACCGATGCGGGACATGTCTCGATGCCAGCCAGTCCGGTCCGCACTGGTCCAGATGTGAAAGCGCCATATATTACCCACTGATTAAAATCAGGTGTGTTGGAGCAGAGAAACAACTAAAACATACTGGATAGTGGGCCTCCCAGACAAGGATTGGGCACCACTAAATTATGAGTACATCAATAGTGATGTATAACAAGAGAGAAAAACTCTTTATTAAGGGATTGGTGTTGTAACTTCTTGAATGCAAAATCTTGTGAAATTTCCTAAAAAATGTGTTGTAGTCTGATAAAAGTGTACTTTGTTATTTTTACAGGGTGGTGAGGCACTCATGGCTGTTACATATAGCACCGTCACCCAGCTGGGCCTGTTTTCCCAGCAGTACCCTCCTCCTCTGCTGCCCAAGCCTGGAAAGGATAATCTGCGTCTTCAGAAGCTGCTTAAGAGGAGTGCCAAGAGAAAGGCTTCCGTTCAAGCATCACAGTCTGCAACACCTTTCCGTTCAAGCCTTTCCCCTGTGAACGAAGCAAGTCCTGACCTTGAGTATTGTGACCACTCTACCCCACCCAAAACACCAGAGACATTACCCAGCTATTACAACATCCAGCCAGCCCCCCGGTTCACTGTCAGGCCACTGTATCAACATGTGGCATCTCCTTACCCACAACAAGCAGCGTACGGTCGAGCAACGAGGTTATCTCCTCAAACAGTAGTCCCTCCTTCATTCCCTTACTCCCAGCTTTTCACAACAGTCGCGTCATTACCAACATCAATACAGGTTTCTGAAGCCTTAGCCACTGTGGAGCAAGTCACACAGCCCACTGTAGCCAGTACTCCACGGCCCTCTTCCTTTACATCTGAGGGGATCGTAACAGTGACTGAACCAAAAAAGCAAACATTTGGTACAAATCCTGAAAGTCATTCAGGTTTAAGACCTGTCACAGCTGTAGCGACACCACCTTGCATACCTAAAAGTCCTGGTCCCGCTCTACATTCAATACCATCAGGTCAAGCTGTGATTTTACCTCTTACCGTGTTGACCTCGATAATGAAATGCAGGAGTCCACGTCCCACATTTAAAGCAGCCGAACACTCAAAATCACCAAAGCCCATGTTTGATGTCCCTCAGATAAGGATGTACACAGCAAGCACGTCCTATTATGAGACATCCAGGACGCCACCAGTTTATGACACAGCTGGATTAACTGCCATAGGCAGCACTGCACCTCACAGTAAAATATCAACAGAAACAAGAAAAGATTTGCATCAAGCATCTGAGGTAAGAAGAGGTGTGACAGCAAGTCAGCCTCCCTCATTAGGTACTAATGCTGGGAGAAAAACACCAGTTTCAGAAGTCAAAAGAGCCACACCGCCAGTCGAAATCAAACAACAAACTCCAGCCTTAGAAATGAAAAGGGCCACTCCATCAGAGGTCCCAGTTAAAGTGTCAAGAACTTCAGCAGGAAGGGCTAAAACTCCAGTAGACAATGCAACCCAGGCCACAAGCCTGGCTAGTGAAAACTCAACATGCGAACCTTTGTGTGCAGAATTACAGATGTCAGCAGGTTCTGAAGGGTCGAGATCGCTACCGATCAAGACTACCGAGCTTCCTGAAATATTACCAAACGGGGACATTCACTCTGACACAAAACCTGCCACTAAGTCTGAACAAATTCTCACCAAGCCAGAGCCTGATCCAAAAGGAGGAGCAATCCTGACCTCAAAGGTGGCCTCCCATGGAGCTGAAGCTATTACATCCATACTGACGACACAAGTAATCGCTGGCTATCAGAGGCCAAAGACTCCAACATATGAGGCCTCCCGACTCATGACCAGATCACCTGTCTATAAAAGACCAAAGACACCAGTATCACCAGTAGACTTTAAGAGACCTAAAACCCCAGTTTCTCTAAAGTCAAAGCCTACCTATTATGGACTTACCCCAGCTGAATATGCTGCACATGGTGGGATTAAAACATCTTCCCCAGCATTTGGTTTCTCAAGTTCATCGATACAAACACAGGAGGAAGTTAAAGCTCAGGCACCAGGAAAGAGGAGTGTGGAACAACAAAATGCAGACAAAACTTCAAAAGTCAATGAGCGCTCTAACGACATGGACGGACATCGCCAGGAGCATAAAACGGTTTCTTCCACTGCTTCAGTTCCACTTATTGTGGTTTCACAACCATCTGACTCATCAGAATCGGCGCCCAAGCAACACATGAGCCAAGCAGCTGAACTGGTTGAAGCCAAACAAGACACGCTGATGATTCAAGAAATCCAAACGTCCTCAACTGAGATGAATACGATTTCAGAAAATCAAGAATTTGAAACATTAATTGAAGAAAGCCAACCTACAACAAAGACTCCTGAAAACAAACACCCTCCTTCCAAAGGCAGTGATCCAGATGGCACGAAGACAGGAAACATGTTTTTTGGAAAAGTTAAAATCCAGACTGATGAAGAGAAAGCTAAAGCTGACAAAGAAACATCTGTTTCTGCAACGAAAATCAAACTTGAAGGTTCAAAGGCTCAATATGAGGTGACTACTCCGGCTCTTCTAGCAACAACTGCTGAACTACGCCAAGATAAGGAGAAACAGAAGGAAAAAACAGAAAAAACGTCAGCAGTTAAATTCTCACTTGAACAAAAGAAAGACAACGAGACCCTCCCAGAAGCTGAGTCCCTTCTTATAGTCATGAAAAAACCAAAAGGCTTGAAATCTAAAATGAATGGGTGGTCGAGACTCAAAAAGCACATGGTCGTGGAACAGGAGGAGCCAAAATTTCCTGAAGTAAACACCCCAAAAGAGACCAGGGGCCAGGATCAGGGTGAAGAGATAAAGCTTGAAGGGGACAAGCCAAATGCACAGGAGGAGACGCAAACCAAGGACACTCCAAAGGTAACAAAGATGTGGGATGCTGTCCTCTTCCAGATGTTCTCCACCAAAGAGAACATCATGCACCAAATCGAGTTAAACAAGAGTGATGGGGAAACGAAAGACGAGAGAAAAGATGAGCCAAAAGAGATCCCCTCGTTTGCATACAAGCTGCCGGTGTTGCTCTTTAGTCCCAGGTTTGATGCCAAAAAGCTGAAAGAAGCCGCATCAAGACCGGTCACAAAAATCTCTACCGTGTTTGAAATGGGTCTGATTGGGCGAAAAGGTAAAGAAGAGGAACCAAAAGACTTTAACAGAACAGCCCGAGGGTTTACGACTCCTTAAGCTCAGTCCAGACAAAGTGATGTTTATTGTAAATGTTCAGTGTTTTTAGCAGCAAAACGAATGTACAGTTCTGGTCTTCGTCTTTGTAATCATGTGATTTTGTGACCCTGTTGAAGATACTGACCTTCATATTCATACTTGATGAATGCCTTTCACGTTGTTTCTACAGGATGTAGACGCTGGCTAAGATAGAGCCGTGTTTGTCTTAAAGTCATTCACAAGTTTTATCAAATACAAATGCTGCTTCGGTCCCAAAGCTTTATGCACTCTGGTTCTCTGCTGTTTACAGAATATTTAGTTTAACTACATTTGAAAAAGTCTAAATAAATAATTATAAGACAAATCATTTGTGGGACAAGTTCTGTTTTTAGCCTTTTTTTGTTTGTTTATTCAGAATGACTCTGGTTAGAAGGTATGTTTCAGTAAAATCTTTGTAAACTTCTCTTTTTTGATCCTCTTGGAGAAACATGTCTCTGCATTTAAGCATTGGGCTGCGTTTTTATATCACACCCAGAAGGCAACTTTGGGGTTCACATCTTGCCCAAGGACACTTCGGCACATGTCCTGCTAGGACTGGGGATTGATCCTCTGACCTTTGGATCATTGGACAACCATTCTCCCCATTCAGCCACGGTCACCCTGGGGTTGTTTCACGAGCAAGGCGTCTCACATTGCATGTGTACATTTATTTGAATGAAGGACGGTTATGGTAAATGATGTATTGTAACAATGAAGTTTGGTATGTTTGACTTATTTCCAATGATGAAAATGTTTAATGTACTTCGTATTCATCTTAGCTTCATCACACACATTAGCTACACACGCAGTATTATTGGTAGCTGCTCAATAGTTAGTTGTACGTCAGTAACCCTCAAAAGTAGTGCAGTAGAGGAATGATTGTGGACAGGCAGTAATCCCAGATGGCTGTACGTTTGAGAAGTTACGGTTGAAAAGTAAATGTGTCAGTTAAAATAAAATGGTAGACGCTGGAAGTTGGTCACTGATGTTAGAGCTAGTGAAGGTGTAGTTAGTGATGTCACTGCGACAGTGAGGGTTGGTTGGATCATCTGGGAGGACATTCTGCAGTAACTGGTTGTTAGATTACTATCTGGAAAACAGTTTGATATTCCAAACGTCTGCCTTTCTGTTTTTGAAAATGGGAATGAAGTATTAATCTCATCACCATACATGAAACCTACACGGGAACTTAACATGGGAACGGATGCTGAAAACCAACCAGAATGCTCTTAGTTGCTGGCTCAATATCACTTCTAAGTCAAATTAAATATTGTTTATGCTAAAAAACAAAGTACAACTCATAAAGGTGTCTTCCTCCACAGATTTCTGTGTGTTCAAGTACTTGTTTTTCTAATCTGTTAAACTATTAGTATTTTTTAAGTACCATGACTGTGCAGAGCCCCACATCTGGGGGTCTCGGGCTCTTTAGCTCCAGAAACACAGCATGGTCGTGCCTGTGGGACAGATGTTTTAGCCTGACCTCTGAGCAAGCTTTTAAAAGTATGGAGACTCCTGATCAAGACAATTTATCTGAGTTCCTGAACAAAGGCTTACTGTTAAATTAGGATTTGAACAAACAAAAGCTTCATTTCTCATGTTTTGTTGGAGTTAGAATCGTAATAAAATCAATATGCTATAAGTATATACATTTGCAAAGCTTTTGTTATTCTAGAAGATATTTATAATTTTTTTTAGATTGGGAATGGGTGGATAGAACAGAACAAACGCTGTAAAAAATGACCACATGTAGTTAGCGCTTAGAAACAAGTCTGTCTTTCTGCAAGACAGACGGCAGTTTGAATCTGAAGGTAAAAATCTCAGCTGGTTTATTTGGATCATATCTGAGGAAGGCAAATGCAGTTTATATTTTAAAACGGGCTAAGTGTACTTTTCTAATGCCTGTACCGTGTTATGCTGCTCCATCAGAAAACCAAACAGTTGTTGCAGAGTGAATCTTCCTGCTGAGGGCTCTAATACGGTCGAAGGTGAGAGGAAAAACAAATGTGCTGTTCTGGTTTATTTTGCAAGCTGCAGTTAGACTACAGAGGTCGGAGTTATTCATTTGAAGGCATAACTTTACTCAGATGCAGTGTTTTTAAAATCCAACGTTGCTGTGATTGAGCTCTTCAGAGGAGCCTGCTGACTTCTTCCTCGTGTTGAGTTTATGTCATTTATTTCTCTTTAATTTCACAAAGCTGCTGCTAAAAAAGGTTTCCAACATCCTTCAAATCTAAATGAAACTCAGTGGATCCCGCGGCCAGGAAGAGAGAGCAGTTTTTACATTGTTACTGAATCACTTCTATTCCTGATGTTGCTTCTGGGGAATTGTGCTTGGATGTGACTTCTCTGTTTGGCATTTCATAATAAACAGCAATTTTACAGATTATGTGTTTTAATATGTTTTATTACCACTGACGGTGCAACATGGTTCGTGCTGCTGCCTTTGAGCAAGAAGGTCACAGTTTGACCAGTAATCAAATGTGCGAATGGACACGTGGGTGTTGTTGTCCTTCACGAACTACAGACAAATAAAAACAACAAAAGCAAATCTACCAGCATAAAAAACTGGTTTGGAACGTAGTTTGTCCCATCTTCTGTTCTGACAGTAATGTCTTCAAAAATACAACACATGAGTTAAACGAATAAGTGATAAACAGGCTTCTGCTGAACTTGACACAATGATGCGCTGGTAGCCATCAAGGACTGAGAACCTGGATGTAAGAAAACTTTATTAGATGCACATGCTAGTACCAGGTAGGAAATCCAGACATGATAGCGTCATCTCATCCATGGTGAGAACCTCCCATTCCACCACATCCCAAAGGTTCTGGACTGGACGAAGATCTGGCGGCTGTGGAGGTCGCTGGAGTCCAGTGAACTCATGGTCATGTTCTTGAAACCAGTTAGAGATGATCTGAGCTTTGTGACATGGTGCATGATCCTGCTGGAAGTAGCATCAGAAGATGGGTCCATGTGGTCATAAAAGAATGGACGTTTAAATTTCTTGTGGTTCTTCGTCATACTGCGCCTTCGTTGATCACCAAGTCCCATGAGTGATCCAGCGTGTAGTCTCCATTGTCCCTGTTCATGGTCATTTACGAAATACCATGCAAAGGACATAAACATAACAGAAAAAGGGTGAGAAGGAAACAAGTGGAAGGCACACAAAAGCAGTGAAACACGAAGCAGAAAGCATGATTTAAAAAATGAGTCGTAACAGACCACTTAACAAGAGAAAAGCATGGACTGGGACTGCACACGGATCATAAACACAGCAGCAGAAATTCAAAAGATAGCTCAAAGAAGCCATTGGGATAAGGAGACGTGGACCCAAGACCATGAACAGAGACGAAGGAGTTTACACGCTGGACCACTCATGAGACACGGTGATCCGCGGAGAAGGTGCGGGCAGCAGGGGACAAATTCATCCTCTGAGGCCCGCTCATAATTGGATGTGATGCCACCAACATCAGAGGTTGCTCTGCTGAAGGTTACAGTGGATGCTGAAAAACGCTGGAAAGGTAAAAACCAGCTCTGTTTGCTCTGTGTGTGGAGAACCACAAAAAGGGAAATGGGATAAAAAACACAGAACAAACGTAGCAAAGCTGTTTGGAGTGGACGTGTCAGCAACAACACTCAAGCAGTGGTGTTAAACCAGGCTCAGGTGGTGCTGAGGGGTCCAGAGTGGCGCCAGAACACACCCACACCTCTACCATTACACCAGCAGCAGCCTGAAGCATTGCTACGAGGCAGGATGGACCATGCTTCGTGTTGGTGACACCAGGTTCTGACCCGATAGCTGAAATCTAGACTCATCAGACCAGGAAAAGTCTTTCCAGTCTCTTCTGGTCCAGTTCTGTGGGAATTGGCCTCAGTGTCCTTTTTGTTGCCTCTGTAAATAAAATGGTACGTCTGCATTTTCCACAATGTAAAAGTATCATTAGTTGTCAGGGGGCTTTAATCTGGGATTATCATGTAATTTGATCCATCATCTTCTCTCCCTGTCATGAACAGTTAGTCGGGAGGTGGAAGAGGTTTGTTTTGTCCCGTTTTATCTGCGTTTAGATTGGTTAGGGTTAGGATTAAAAGCTAGCTGTCTGGGTTAACCTGTCCAGGGCGTCCACTGCCTCTCGCCCAGTGACCGCTGGACACCAGAGGAGGAGACTGTTGTGGATTATAAATAAATGAAAAGTTCAATCAGACTTTTTGATGCATCTTTAGCGTGCTCAGCAGGAATGTCATGAAGATTACTTTATTCATGTAGCAGGATAACATAAATCTAAAGGACCACTATTCCTAAACCAGCGTTACAGTGTTTTGCTACTTCCTGTCAGTCGTGCTGTGAATCCTTCAGTTAAGTTCTCCATCATTTGTGTTATCCACAGGAATCTTCTCGTATTTTCCGTGACCAGTAATGACAAACTTGTACTTTTTACCAGCTGCTGCAGGCTGTGAAGAGATGAGACATGTATTAGTTTTACATTCCCGTCCCACTGCACTTAGAAACCATATAACAAATGCAACACATATCAGAAAACATTTAAAAATCCTTAATCCATAGATTTGATCAAATGTATGCACTTGTTTTATATTTGTGGAAAATTAATAAAATGATCAAGCACCTTCTTAGAAATAATAAAGAATTAGCTTAAAACCAACATTTATGCTGTTTTAAACAAAAAAGTAATTTTAGCTGCAAAGGACCAAAAAGCCACAAGAGGCCCCAGAGCTGCAGGTTGGAGGCTCCGTCCTCAGAATATTCCATCAATGTTGTGTGTCATCAGACAAATACAGACGGCATCATAACTCCAACAGCTATTTCAAAATAAAAGTTTAACAAGCAACCACCTTTGTTCTTTGTTCTAAACTCCCCGATGAGTCTCCGATTACCTCCCACATGTTCTTCTTGTGCATCACATCACCAGGCTTCACAATCTGAAGGAAACATCCCATAATAAGAGAGCATAAATTTGAGTTTGTACAGTGGAGGGTGTAGCTATCAGCCTTAGATCAATGTTCACCTGTTAGAGCATCCTTTTGTTTCATTTGCTTTTTGTTGTTAATACATCAGCAAACAAAACACATCATTTAGATCCATCGGGCCATGGTGCTGCCTCTGCTAGTTCTAACAGACTAGTCTAGCTGGTGCTGCCTCTGCTAGTTCTAACAGACTAGTCTAGCTGGTGCTGCCTCTGCTAGTTCTAACAGACTAGTCTAGCTGGTGCTGCCTCTGCTAGTTCTAACAGACTAGTCTAGCTGGTGCTGCCTCTGCTAGTTCTAACAGACTAGTCTAGCTGGTGCTGCCTCTGCTAGTTCTAACAGACTACGGCCCTGTCCACACGTAGCCGGGGATCTGCCAAAACGTAGATATTTTTCTACGTTTTGGTCTGTCATCCACACGAAAACTGAGTTTTTTCACACGAAAACGGATCTTTTTAAAAACTCCGGCCAAAGTGAAGATCTGCGTTTTCTCCGTTTTGGGTGTCTGCGTGTGGACAGACAAAACCGGAGTTTTAAGGTCCGCAACGTCACTTTCCGCGACAAAAAAAATTGCTGACATCACGTGTGCGACCTGTGTTTACACTAGCCGACAGCATGGATGCCCTCAGAGCTGCGCTCACTTTATCAATTGTCCAAGCGCTTTTTGCTTGTTTGTTTTTGCAAGTGGAATTACTGCTCCTTGTGGAAGACCATAGACGAAGGACGAGGTTAAGAACGGGGGAAGTACTGCCGCCTACAGGTCTGGCATGTCCTTAACAACGTATTTATCTGGGTACATGTGGACAGAGATTTTTTTTTAAACGAGGTGGTGTGGATGCAAATTTTTGGAGGGGCGGATATTCATTTTTTTTTTAACGGCTACGTGTGCACTAGACCCACGTCTAGCTGGTGCTGCCTCTGCTAGTTCTAACAGACTAGTCTAGCTGGTGCTGCCACGTCTCACCAGTAACATGAACCTCAGCATCTGAGTCTAAAGTCATTTAAAGTGAGGTTAACTTAGTGATGAAGTACTGTTTCCGTGCTGTCATTGAACCCTGAAACCATTGGGTCTGGGAACTCTTCAAATAACCCCACCCCCTGAGGATTCTAACGGGACCAATCAGCGCTGAGCAGCGTACGTCACACACCATAACGCTCGGTTTCTCATAAATAGTGAAGACGGCATCTGAAGTGGAGTTTGCTGCAGCTCTTTCCTCTGGTCTTAATGACTTGGGCACGTCTTTAAAACCACATCAAGAAGAAGCGCTAAAAGCCTTTCTTCTAAAGAAAGATGTTTGCGCCGTCGCCATATGCCATTCTTTACTACAGCTAGAAATCTACTATACTTTTTTCTGGTTCTTTTTTAGCTGGCTAGTCCCGCCCCTCATGCTTCTCTGCCTGTGAGTAACCAGACTAGTTCTCTGTGTAGAATTAAACAGAGGATGAGTCTGGCAGGCCAGGCTACACAGGAGTACTAGGGATTAGGAAAAGCAGCACGGCACAGAGGCATCTGATGTCAGAGCAGCTACTTACTCATGCTTACTATAGAAATGTCTCTGCAGTGGCAGGTTGATGTGTTTGTTGTCTTTCACTGAAAGTCTGCATCTTCTTAAGACAAGGTAGCAGCAGGCTGACAGGCAACGTTAGTGAAATATTGAAGGGTCAGTGTGGTATTGCATCAGATGAGGAACAACAACTGCTTTATTTTGCTTGTCCAGCAGTGGTGGAGGTCAAACATCCACAAGGAAACAACCCCAAACGTATGTGCAGATGCAGAAGCAGAGCTTCGCATAGGCGTCATGTTTTCTGGAAGGTTTGTGTGAAAAATGTTTTTTGCATTTGGAACTCACAATTGGCCTGAATGTTGGAGGTCTGTTGCTGCTGTCTGAGGGGCTTTTTACCCACTGAGTGATCCGGTTGGCCACGCCCACATTCACACCCTTTCTGTCCTGTTTAAAAACACAAAATAAAACACAACAAATGAATGAATGCACGACAGTCTTTATAGGTGGAATTTCCCTCACATGACACGGGGTACTGTACTAATGACCCAACTGCTTGACATGTCGTTCTAGCAGGACACGCTAACTACACAGTATGCTAACAGCTGACAGACACCCAAGGCAACAAAGAAAAGAAAAACAAGGTTCCACTATTCCAGTGTCAGACGTTGTGTGGAACTCTACAAAGGAGTGGTCCACATGTACTTGTGTGTGACCTCCACTGTTGCTCATGTTCCTAATGCCACTCGTTTGTTGTACCCTCATCACTTGTATTTTGCCTCACTGCCTGAGTGTATTCCCATTGGTCATTTGCATACTGGAGTCATAGGTTAGCCGATGCTGCTTGAAGACCGTTGGAGACTAAATTTGGTCGTGAGCATGGTAAAATGGTAAATAGCCTGTATTTGTAGAGTGCTTTCTAGGGTTCTGCAACCCCCCAAGTCACAACCCAATCAGTCATTCACCCATTCACACTCTGGTGGTGGTGAGCTACAATGCAGCTGTCCTGGGGCGCACTGACAGACACACCCAAACACACCCACATCACCCCTCTTCTCCTCCAACTTCACTGGCTGCCAGTCTGGGTTCATTTCAAGATCCTGGTTCTGGTCTATAGGGCCTTACATGGACAAGCACCATCTTACATTGGTGATCTTCTTAGTCCCTACACCCCCAGCAGGTCCCTGAGGTCCAGTGATCAAAGCCTACTGGTTGTGCAGTGCACCATGCTAAAGACCAAAGGTGACAGATCATTTGCTGCTGTGGCCCCCAGACTCTGGAACTCTCTCCCCCTGAGCCTGAGATCAGTGGACTCAGTGGTCTCCTTTAAAAAGCAGCTGAAGACTCACTTGTTCAAGCTGACTTTTGTATGACCTTCTTCAACCCCCTCTTTGTGAAGCACCTCGTGATTTTTCTCTTGAGAGGCTCTATAGAAATGATATTTTCTTCTTCATCTGACAGAGGCGAGGCTGCTGAGCAGAGGCACTGTCGGTCTCGCTGACCACCACCAACAGGCAAGGTACGGCAGTACGTTTCTTTATTCTGAAAATCTCGGGAGCTTCGCTCCGTTTCTGCGTCCGATTTCCTGTCTTTCCTTCCCCAAAAATGTCGAACTTGACCCGTTTCAGAGGCGTTGCACGTAGAAAATAGAGCCGCCGCGTAAGGGCCGCGACATGCTGCTCCTGAGACGCGGCCGACTCGCGCTGCTGACGGCTCCGATGGAAAGAAGGGGTTAGACTCTTCTGGGATTTTCTCACTCTATTCTTACATACTGCACCTTTAAGACCAGACAATAACTCAGGACCTACCAAATTACTGATGTGAGCATTTTACTAACTACCTATGATTCACCTGTTCTGCAGAAGCCTGTTAATCACCTGCTGGTTAAAGCCAGGTTGAGTTCCAGGTACAGTTCAAGAGATGAAATGAATGAATGGCTGTGAACAGTATCTTGGTTCTTTCCTGCTTCATGATTTCTCACTGTACTTTGGACTGATGCTAGCCCACAGACCCTACAGAGACTCCACTGTCCTCAGTCATGAGATGATTAACCATTGATCCATTACAGTTCCCATTGGAGTTCCACACATATTCCCCACAGCCATTTAGCTAGAGTAGTTTCCATTTGAAACCAGGAAGCATTTTGCTTTGGCCTTTGTCAGGTTTACACAAAAACAAATTCAGTTCTAATGAGGTCCAAATTAAGACCAGTTTCTCATGTCATGAATAAGACTCAATAGGTTCTAAAATCCCCCTATTTAATAAAATGCTTGACTGGATCTAATCGTTTTCTGAGTAATTACAGTCCTACAGGTGACCTGAGTGAGTACAGTCCTATAGGTGACCTGAGTAAGTACAGTCCTATAGGTGACCTGAGTAAGTACAGTCCTATAGGTGACCTGAGTAAGTACAGTCCTACAGGTGACCTGAGTAAGTACAGTCCTACAGGTGACCTGAGTAAGTACAGTCCTATAGGTGACCTGAGTAAGTACAGTCCTATAGGAGGCCTGAGTAAGTACAGTCCTACAGGTGACCTGAGTAAGTACAGTCCTACAGGTGACCTGAGTAAGTACAGTCCTATAGGTGACCTGAGTAAGTACAGTCCTATAGGAGGCCTGAGTAAGTACAGTCCTATAGGTGACCTGAGTAAGTACAGTCCTATAGAAGACCTGAGTAAGTACAGTCCTATAGGTGACCTGAGTAACTACAGTCCTACAGGTGACCTGAGTAAGTACAGTTCTACAGGTGACCTGAGTAAGTATAGTCCTATAGGAGACCTGAGTAATTACAGTCCTACAGGTGACCTGAGTATGTACAGTCCTATAGGAGACCTGAGTAAGTACAGTCCTATAGGAGACCTGAGTAAGTACAGTCCTACAGGTGACCTGAGTAAGTACAGTCCTAGAGGTGACCTGAGTAAGTACAGTCCAACAGGTGACCTGAGTAAGTACAGTCCTACAGGTGACCTGAGTAAGTACAGTCCTATAGGTGACCTGAGTAAGTACAGTCCTATAGGTGATCTGAGTAAGTACAGTCCTATAGGTGACCTGAGTAAGTACAGTCCTATAGGTGACCTGAGTAAGTACATTCCTATAGGTGACCTGAGTAAGTGCAGTCCTAAAGGAGACCTGAGTAAGTACAGTCCTATAGGTAACCTGAGTAAGTACAGTCCTATAGGTGACCTGAGTAAGTACAGTCCTATAGGTGACCTGAGTAAGTACAGTCCTATAGGTGATCTGAGTAAGTACAGTCCTATAGGTAACCTGAGTAAGTACAGTCCTATAGGTGACCTGAGTAAGTACAGTCCTATAGGTGACCTGAGTAAGTACAGTCCTATAGGAGACCTGAGTAAGTACAGTCCTATAGGTAACCTGAGTAAGTACAGTCCTATAGGTAACCTGAGTAAGTACAGTCCTATAGGTGACAGTGTGGAGGAAAAGTGAGTTTAAACAGGAAGTCTTCTGCCTCGGCTGACTTTAGCATGCTAGCTGCTCCGCATCAAATGCTTAGCAAATGTTATTATTCATGAGCGTTTTCAGAGGAATGAATTTTACTTTTACTATGTAACATGTCAGGAACAATGTAACTTTTCATGACACTGAAAGTGAAACGTTACATCGTTTGTCGTTTCTGTGCTGTAGGCATTCACTGAAGAAAGATCACCTCATCTTTGGGCAGCTGTTGCTGTTTTTGCCCTTTCCTCTGTTGCTCATCTTCTTCCTGAAATTCACGTCTGTCCTCCCCACACCTCCTCAGCTCCTGTTGGTTCCACTTAGCTTGGACCCGTCTGTGTCGGTGCCTCTCCAGCTCCTGGTTCTCCTCCTGCAAGTCCATGTGGAAGTTCTGCAGTTGCTGCTCCGCGCCCAGAATGGCTCCATCTCTGCTGCACACAATGATCTCTTTGTTTTGCAGGCTGCTGATTAGAGGTTCATCAGAACAGCATCAGAAACTTGCTGCATGATGAATTTAGAAACGGTAAAAGAGTTTTTTTTTGTTAAACAGCCTTGAGATCTGTTTTGTACAGGAGACTTACATCTGAATCTCCTCCTTCCTGTTTGAAATCAACATGTCCCTCTCTTTCTTCCTCCATTCTTCATCCTCTCCTTCATTCCTCCTCTCCTTCTCGCTGGTAGTCACATTTTCTTTTTGCTCTGGCATCTGGAATCGGCTGGAGGACATCCTGAAGGCCTGAGGGAACTTCTTTGTAACAACTTTGTTCTCCAGGTCCTCTTCTAGGTTCTCCTCCTCACTGCCGTCCTGGCTGAGCTCCTGCTGCCGCCTCTGTTTCTCTCTGCGCTGAGTCCAGTCACTGAAGCCCTCGTCCACCTCAATAGAAGGAGAACTGTCGGACTTCATGTCGCTTTGCCACCTGAGAAGGGATGGGAGTGCAAAACATAAGATTTCATTTGTAATGAATTAGAACAGATGTTTTCCTTATGAGCCATGAGTGTGAAGATGTTGCTGCAGAAACTGTTCTCTAAATGTGTAATGCTACCCTGAGAGCCATCTGTAGGGTTATTTATTAAGACTGCTGTGGGAAGTATGAGAATCATGGGGCTGGTTTAGGAATGTGGGTCCATTCACACCAAACATTTCAGTGGATTCCTTCAAAAACCAGTGGGCTGTAGTGAACTGGTGTCATGTCCAGTGTGCACCCGCCACCCTGCAGCAGGATCAAGCAGGTGTGAGAAACAGATGGATGTCCTTACTCACATGTTCTCCTTTGCTGGCATCTCGGTGTCTGGTGTAAAATCGTCAGGTGTCAAGCCATTGTTCCTTTGTCGTAAAGACCGTCGAGCTCGTTGACGACGCTCCCGCTCCACCTCCTCAGCATCTTCAATGCTCCTCTGGGAGGTAAGTCTGGAAAAGAAGGCTTTGTTGTTGTGGCTTTCAATAAGACAGAACCGTGTCTCCAGATACAGGTGAAACTCAAAAAAATCAGAATCTGGTGCAAAACTTCTTCTGGTTGGGTAATTCAACCCTAAAAACGTTAAAGGGTGAAACTGATGAATGAGACTGACTCGTTCCATGCTAAACCAGATGTTCCGTGGTTTTATTTGTTATAACTGTAGTGATTAGGGCTCACAGCTGATGAAAACCCCACGATCAAAATCTCAGATGATTAGAATATTGTGAAAAATATTCTAGACTCAAAGTGTTACACTCTAATCAGCTAATAATCCAGAACACCTGCAGAGGTTCCTGAGCCTTTAGATGGTCTCTCAGTCTCAGCTGGATTGCTGGCATTAATGAACGTTTGCATCAGATTAAAATTTTCCAGTTTCACCTGTAGATGAGGAGGTCATTTGTGTGTGTGTGTGTGTGTGGGTGGGGGAGGGGGGGGGGGGGGGGGAATGTTGCAAATTCTAGAGATTCTTAGAGATGTTTGGTCGATAGACTTCATTACATAAAGTTCTCCTAGAAATCATCAATTGAGGAGCTGACTGGTAACATCTAATTATAACTGAGAGCTCCGTGGTCTAGGGAAAGGGCGTCTGACCTGAGACTGGGAGATCGTGGGTTCAAATCCACGGTCGGGTCATACAGTACCAGTGACTTTAAAAATGGGACCCAGTGCTTGCCTGTCTGACTCTCGGCATTAAAGGATCGGATTGGGGGTTAAACCACCAAATGGTTCTAGAGCGTGGCCGTGTGTGCAGCTCATGGCTCCCCACAGGGCTGGGTCAAAGGCAGAGAAATAATTTCATCAGTGTGTGACAACTAATGGGACTTTAAAAGAAATGTATACATCTCATAAATATTTTAAATCCTGCTAATGTTAAAGAATAGCTGGTGTATAAAGTTTAAATTTCCCCTTGCAGCAAGTTCAAATAAACTTTTTGCTATCACTGCAGGAGTCAAACAGGTTCTCCTCCACCTTTTGTTGTTCTCCTGTAAACTGACACCGCAGACTTGCATGAGCTTGCTGCTTCCCAGAACCTTTCCATGAAAAATGAGTGACAAAGTGCCCCCCAGCCCCGTAGGCCAGTGTGATGCATGTATGTGGTCAGAATGATGCATCCAGACTGACTCATTAAGATGACAGAGCAGACAGCTTCAATACATCATTCAGTACGTATAAATGTGACAAGCAAACCCGTGGTTATGAGCTGGATGAAAAACTCCAATGACTGAATAATAACATGTTTGGTTTTGAGCCTGAGAGTCTAACCGGATCTGTAATGCAGACTTGAATGATGGAAGACATCTGTGAGATTAAGTCACTTCGCTAAAACAAGTCAAGGCAACGAAGGGCATTAACTCACTCTGACACATCAGCACAGAGACTTCCACCTCCCAGAGAGGCAAACAACGTAACCCAGCGATGGTTGTAAACGTGCCTTAAGACTGAGCCAAGCAGAATGTGTCACCATCAATGTGCAGACCAACAAAGCAGCTGTCAGCTTTAGTTTCAAAAACAAGCGAAACACACACTCAAGCAAGTACTCTCCCCTCACCTTTGTGAACCCGTTTAGAACTCCTGTTAAAGACCCATCCATCCATCATGGGGTTACAGGGGTAATCATCAGCGTAGGACCCTGGACCTCTGCCTCTCCAGCTTCCTGATCTGGCTCATCCAGAGGCATTCCCAATAATCTCTCTGTTGAGTCCCAGGTCTGCTCCGAGTTTTCATCCAAATCTAAAACCCTGACATGGATGACGTCCAGATGGCATCTTTACCAGATACCCAGACCACATCAGATGTCCACCCTCAGCTCCTGGTCAGAGCCGAGGGTTGGAATGTGGTCTGATCGGTAAATCAATAAGTTTGTGTTTCAGCTCAGGTAACTTATCACTGTGGTCAACACCTACAGGGTCCTTACTGCTGCAGATACTGTCACAATTCATGCATTCTACTATTGAACAGGACACAGTTCCTGCAGCGCTGGTTGTGCTGCTTTTGTTTCAGCTTAGTCTTGGTAGGTATTCACGTACAAAGTTTCATGCATCATTTGATGTTTTTCTGCTCAAAATTAACCAACAAACAAATAAAAACTACAAAACGCTTTTAAAAACTAATGACCCTCTGTTTGCCATGAGATTTATTCTCTCTCTCTATATATATACAGTATACGTATGTATGTATACATATATATATATATATATATATATATATATATATATATATATATTTATACATATATGTGTGTGTATGTTTATATATATATGTGTGTGTGTGTGTGTGTGTGTGTGTGTGTGTGTGTGTGTGTGTGTGTGTGTGTGTGTGTGTGTGTGTGTGTGTGTGTGTGTGCAAATTCAAGCTGCTTAAAACTTAGATTTATTCCCTCCAGGTTGGTCCAATAACACAAATAAATATTGGGTTTATGAAATAGTCTGTAAGCAATGAAATGCAGTCTCACCAGTGATTCCTTATTCTACATCAGCCTCCTTCATTATTTTGATGGTGTTGTTGGAACAGTCCTGATGTTTTTATTTGTAATTTCTGCTGCAGTAACGTCTGACTGCAGCTCGAAGGTGAAAACAGGAACAGACTTGTGACTGTTTGTTTTTCTTTTTTCTGCAGCTTCTCTCTGGTGTGTGGGCGAGGATATAACACAGTTCTGATCAAACAGAGGGATCGATACCGCGTTAGGTGGAAGATGAGAGTCTACATGTTACATGTTTGAGCGCAGACTCTGAAGTCATCACCAGCAGGTCATGAGGGTGTTGGCATGAGGCAGGAAATGCAACAAGAGAAGTTTTTATCTAAAAAGGGTCAGAGTGGAAACAAACAGGATGAAATCCTAAAAAACAAACAATAGCCAGGCTCAAGGGGGATTCCTCTCTGACATCGGTTCCCTCTTCCAGAGACATTTGTGTCCCAGCTGCTCTAAAGTCTGAGGTCACTAGATAAACATCTGCTGTTCTGCAGTATTTTTGCTCTGTGGTTTGTTTTAGACAAACATAAAGAACAGAAGGATTAATGTGTTATTATGTCAAAGAGGTTAAGTGAATTCACAATCCCCTAATACCCTCAAAACCCTGAGTGACCCAAAACACTTCCAGTAATCCCACTCTGCTCCCCGCAGGGCAAACATGTTTACCATAAAATATTGACACCATAAATATCGAAACAGACACTTTTATGACAAACCCTTAGGTTTTCACACAGTTAGTGTGTGTGTGTGCATGCATGTGTGTGTGTGTGTGTGTGTGTGTGTGCACGCACGTGTGTGGGGGGTTTAAATATTAACCTGAACTGCTGTTTTCTCTGTGAAACCAACAGAAACCAGGAGCAGAAGGATCTGAAACGTACCTCATCAGGTTCTGTAAGCCCTGCTTGCTGGAGTTTCTCCTCACCAGAGCTTTGGACATCTTTACTTTAGTTTAGCTTCTTCTTGTCTCCGGCTTGTAGAAATAAAAAGGTTCACTTTGTCCACGAGGATCAGCGCTCTCCTCCTCCTCTCCTCCTGGATCAGCTGAGACCAGATTTCAGTCCTGATGAAGCTGCACCAAACCCCTGAGAGATAAAGAAGTGTGTGAGAGAAACTCCGGACTAATGCCTCATCACACACGCAGAGATCTGTGTCATGTGGAGCAAAGTTGATTGAGACAACCTCTTTTCTTTGGAGGAGGCTGGATTTCCAGCCCTATACTCTCCTCCCTCCTCGCACATACCTCACCTCCTCCCTTGCTTCACATGTGGTTTTCATCAAAGAACTCTGAGCAGCAGGGCTTTAGTCAAATTCCTAATTCCTTCATTACCAGCTGCATTTCTCTGTTATCTACAGCCATGGAGTCTGCCTGAGGAGGTCTGAAAGACAATAACCTCTTCCTCACCAAAAGAAAAAAAACTATCCCAACCAAAGCTGCCCTCTGCTCCTCCCTCCCTAACGTTGTGGTAGCAGTTTGGGAGAAAGGCGCACAGATAAAGGAGGGTGTTGGTACCAGGTGGTACCAGAATCCAAAAGCTTTGCTTTGGGTCACAGCATAGAAACTGTTATGGACTAAAACAAACACAGTACTGCTTTTATGTGAATTAACACAACCGTCAAAAACGTTTCCATTTACAAAAACTGTTTCACATGTTTTATGAGTGAAACAGCATTTGAGCAATTAACTAATACAGGTCCTTCTAAAAAAATGTGCATATTGTGATAAAGTTCATTATTGTCTGTAATGTACTGATAAACATTAGACTTTCATATATATTAGATTCATTACACACAACTGAAGTAGTTCAAGCCTCTTATTGTTTCTAATATTGATGATTTTGGCATACAGCTCATGAAAACCCAAAACTCCTATCTCAGATAATCAGCATATCATGAAAAGGTTCTCTAAACGAGCTATTAACCTAATCATCTGAATCAACTAATTAACTCTAAACACCTGCAAAAGATTCCTGAGGCTTTTAAAAACTCCCAGCCTAGTTCATTACTCAAAACCGCAATCATGGTTAAGCTGCCGACTTGACTGCTGTCCAGAAGGCCATCATTGACACCCTCAAGCAAGAGGGTAAGACACAGAAAGAAATTTCTGAACGAATAGGCTGTTCCCAGAGTGCTGTATCAAGGCACCTCAGCGGGAAGTCTGTGGGAAGGAAAAAGTGTGGCAGAAAACGCTGCACAACGAGAAGAGGTGACCGGACCCTGAGGAAGATTGTGGAGAAGGACCGATTCCAGACCTTGGGGGACCTGCGGAAGCAGTGGACTGAGTCTGGAGTAGAAACATCCAGAGCCACCGTGTACAGGCGTGTGCAGGAAATGGGCTACAGGTGCAGCATTCCCCAGGTCAAGCCACTTTTGAACCAGAAACAGCGGCAGAAGCGCCTGACCTGGGCTACAGAGAAGCCGCACTGGACTGTTGCTCAGTGGTCCAAAGTACTTTTTTCAGATGAAAGCTAATTTTGCATGTCATTCGGAAATCAAGGTGCCAGAGTCTGGAGGAAGACTGGGCAGAGGGAAATGCCAAAATGCCTGAAGTCCACTGTCAAGTACCCGCAGTCAGTGATGGTCTGGGGTGCCATGTCAGCTGCTGGTGTTGGTCCACTGTGTTTTATCAAGGGCAGGGTCAATGCAGCGCTCCTGGAGCTTCTCTCTTTTAGAGCTGGAGGTCAGATCACCATGCAGAGACTGCACGGGGACTGTGGAGGACAGACACCTTCAGCAGCAGCTTGTGAAAAAAACTTAATGAGCGCGGCGTCAATGGCAATAAAAAGCAAGTTAAGTTCAAATAAATGGAAATCCAGAGACACTGCCCCATACCCCCTTTATGTCGCCATTGTGTAATATTTTGTAAGAAGGAACACAATGGCACGGACACGAACTGATCACTTACTGTATAAACAACATAAAGCTTCCAGATGCCGCTTCAACATTGCAGCAACTTCACAGCATTGTTTTGTAAAAGTGAGTCGTTGTATTTCTGAGTGTGAGCATCTAAGGTTTCAATCCTGCAGGAATTCCTTGTGTAAGATGGCAGGGATCAACTAGAGAACTCTTTCATGGCTTGTTGATGTTTGGGTGGACTCACATTAAAAGTGTCTTCCGGCAGTTGAACTACTAAATTGCAAAACAGATGCACAATAAGACCATCCAAGTAATTTGTTGTGGTATTTTGGTGCAAACAGTAAAATATGGACCTATAGAAAAACAGAACAAAGCAGGAAGACCAACTAAAACCCAATATGAAATGATCATGTGACCTGAGGAGTGTAATTTCAGTTTGTGATGAGATGAGCAGACGTGCTAGTCTGATCCCAGGTTGTTGATGAGTCCATTAGCAGAGGAGAAACAGCTACCTTTGTGTTATGAGGTTTTGTTCCTGATGGACCACAACATCCTGCCAGAAGCGATAACTCAAGCAGATTGGGTTCTGGATGAGAGGAACCCACCCTGATCTTAGCTCTCCACTTCCTGGACCTGGAGGTGTATAAGAGTAAGTCCGATTCTCGAGCGAGGGCAGGTTACAGCAAACCACGTGCTGATGGAGGTGGTGACGATGGGCTCAATAACACCTGAGTAGAAGTTTATCGTGATCGGTTGTGACACGTTGAACTTCCTCGTCTGCCTCGGGAAGTACATCGTGTGCTGGGCTTTCAAATATGAGCGAGCAGAGTTTCAGCTCACACTTTAGATCTCGGTGGAGGGTGGCCCCCAGAAAATGAAGACTTCACAGTTTCCGATGCGTGCAGGTGGGGCTGAGTTTCCTCTGAAATCCATCACCATGCCCACGGTTGTTAGGGCACAGAGCTCTAGACTGTTCTGCCCACACAGTACACCAGATGGCCAATCTTCTGTGTGTGGATTTGTTTCCACCAGAGATGAGGCTGATGACGGTGGTGTAATCTACGTACTTCAGGAACCTAACAGACTGTTGGGGCTAGGGCTGTCGCGGTAACCGCAAAAATGAAATATCGCAATATGAAGAAACCCACCGCACTGCATCATGGGCCACCGCGATTACTGAACTTGGTTCAACTCAATGATGCATGTTGAGAAGGATGGCTGCACTGGTATCAAAACGAAACGTTACTTCGCTCCTTTGGGAGCACTTTGGTTTTCAGTACGTCAGCTGCTGCACAGCCAGAGTCCTTGGCCGAGACAGAGCTGCCACCAGCGGCAAAAAAATAATAATAAACGCTCGGAGACCTGCTGAAGTCCCGGACAAGCACTGCTTCTGCAACCGTCCCGAAGAGAGTTTGAGCCGAGCTGGAGCTCACTCGCTACCTGCAGGAGGAATGCATCCACCCCTGACATGGTGGAGCAACAACTGGGAGAGATTCCCTTTGCTCGCCAGAGTCGCACGCAGGTACGTGTGCGTTAGTGCAACGAGCGCACCATCCGAGAGGGTTTTCAGTGTTGCTGGAAATGTTGCCACCCCTCTCAGATCCTCTCTCAAACCGTATAAGGTTAACATGCTGGTTTTCCTTGTAGGTAACAAGGACGTGACCGAGCTATAAATCACCGTCATTCGTGTGTGTGAAAGTGAAAGTGAAATGATAGTGCGGCCGCCCCCCGGCGCGCGCCCGCCCGGTACATGTAATTTTTTATGCTTGATTTTAAACAACTAAACAAAATGGGGACTTGTTTCTTATTTTTTATAACAAATGTTTGGCTGCAGCATCTATAGATGCTGCAGCCAAATTTGCATTTAAAAGTTTAACCTCCTGAATTTTGTTGTTTTTAAGTTCAGTCGGACTCCAGCTGTCGGAGAAACAAACGTTACTGCGATCTGTGTTGTTACTGCCCTTTGATCTGCATTCAGTAAAGTGTTATTAAAGAAGGCACGGCAATTTTTAACCTTTTTTAAATGTGTAAACATTATGTTTAGATAGTACTGCAATTAAAAAAAAGGGCTGCAATAATATCGCACACCGCAATATTAAGCCACCCTGAATCACCGCAGGAGGAATTCCTCAACCGCGACAGCCCTAGTTGGGGGGAGATGCAGCAGCCAGTGTACAGGGTGAAAAGTAGTGGAGAAACATGATGGTCAGGAGATCAGAGAAAAACTCTCCATCCTCACCAACTGCTTCCTGTTGTTCAGGAAGTCTGCTATCCATCTGCAGGTGAACTCATGAATGTCCAGCAGGAAAAGCTTATCTTGTAGCAGAGCTGGAAATCACTGAGTGTGGTTACATGCACAGTGACTGACATTTAAGTCGATCCAGGGTGATCTCATGGTAATAAACTGGGAGTCTTCATCCTTGTTTCCATGCGCATTAGAAAACCCAACTCTCAAAGTTCATTCCACTCCAGTATAGTAGGTAGCGACATGTGTGCTTTCATTTCGGCACTCTTCCAGTTAGCTTATAGTAACATAAGCAGTAAACAAGTGCTGGTGGGAGTGAAGCAGACTTAATTAAAACAGGTGATGCACAATGGCTGAAGGAATGTACAAAAACAACACTGCAGCACAGCTTATTTGGTGCGTACTGTCCTGTTTGATGGTGGTACACGTTTTGCTTCATGACCACAATATTATCAGAAGGCTGCTTCCACGGTCTCATCACTTCCGCATCGCAAGCTTCCAACCAGTTCAGTTCAGCTAACCCGTTTACATGCAGAATGTATTCAGATTGCTACCACATGGGTGCTTCAGCTCCAGTAGAACCAGTGTGCTGTCGGCCAGACTAGCAGGTTTACATGCAATTAAAAAACTTGACGCAGGTCTTTTTAGGGTAATACTTTGGTTTTCTGATGTGCCTGCAAATGCACTGACTAGCTAGACAAGCCACACATATGTAAATATATGGTCTGGCCACAACCCATTCACAGAGCTTGACATGTTTTGAGGAAGAGACCTAACCCAAGACATGCAGAATCATGCACAGGACCACAGGTAGGGAATAAAAAAAACAAGTTTATTAGCAAAGTTGAACACAGACAACATCAGTGAAGGGGGCTGCAGCTTTGAGCAGCGTGGAAAAAACTGAGTCTTTAATCTCAGGTCTCAGCCGTGAGTGAACTTGTGGGAAAAAAACAAATCTTACAGTGGATGGGGAGGTAGGGAACAAGAGGGAGAAATACTGGGCCTGAGATGGATCCAGGAATTTGGCATGACAAGAGTCCAAGTGGTCCAGGTGGGTGAGCAGTGGGAGAGTGAGTCTGTCCAAGAGTGTACAAGAGATTAGGTGGAGTCAAGTGCTTGGAGAGGTGCAAAGAACAAGAGTAAAAAAAAAACATAAATCCAAAAAGGAGATCCTAGAGCGAGTTTCTACTGGAGACAAGTGGTACAAGCTAGCGAGTAATCATCCGGTGAGTTCGTGTCTCACTCCTCCCTTTATACACAGCCTGGGTGAT